CTGTGTGCTTCCTCTTCAGCTCCCTCGCGCACCGTATTGATGCCGGAGCCGGAAGATGACGTCATCTTCCGGCTCCGGCATCAGTACGGTGCGCAAGGGAGCTGAAGAGGAAGCACACAGAGAGTGCTCCCTCGCGCGCCGGCCACCTTTCAGGGCCAGCCTCTGGGGGGCCCTGAGCTGACCGGCTGCTGGGCCCCCCAGGAGAAGAAGCTGGCCCTGTGGGTACATACTGGGTCGCAGGACCCCCTGCGACCCGGTATGTACCCACTGAATGTGGGGCCCGGATGACCTTAGCAGTCCGGGCCCCCCAAGACCGCCGGGCCCATGACAACCGTTGCGGTTGTCATGCCCTGATGGCGGCCCTGGGTCCAAGTACAGATCCCTGAGGTACCCCACTGGTGACAAGACCATGCTTCGAATATACTCCATTGACTACAACCCTCTGTTGCCTGTCACTCAGCCACTGCATTACCCATTCAACAATAATGGAATCCAAACTTAAAGATTGCAGTTTATTGATGAGCCTTCTATGTGCAACAGTGTCAAAGCCTTACTGAAATCTAGGTAAGCAATGTCTACTGCACCACCCTGATCTATTATTTTAGCTACCCAATCATTTAGATGAAGCTGTTTTGGTGCCTGGAGTGTCCCTTTAATGCTCCAAGATGGTTATTTGTTTTTTGTGAAGACTGCATCTTGTCAAGCTCAAACTAATATGCATCTTTAATGTGGAATCCTACATGAAGTAGACTATAAGTATAGAAAGAGGCAAACAAAAGCATAGTGAATGATACATTTTAAGTGGCAGAAAAAAATAAAGAGCTTAGAGAAAGGCTTAGAAGTTGCACAGAGGAGTTTATTAGTCCTTAGAGTGGTTACGATAGACACAAAGGTCTTGGAGTAGTGAAAAGGACAGACAGCATAGCAAAGAGGCAGCTGAGATCTAGGACATCACAAGTGCTCATTATCAGATACGCACGTCAGGTCAAGGACAACAAATATACAGATGGTTATAAATAAAGCCAGGTCTGCTACATGTAAACACAGCAGTTAATGATCTCTTTATACACCATGAAGTCCAGGGCAGGACTGGAACAAACTCTGTCCACAAGAAACTGGGCTGATGGAGAACAATAAGCTAAAGAACTAGACTTTTTCTGCTTGGGGAAGAGCAAGTATTTTAGAAGTTTAATGTGTTCATTAAACTGATTAGGATATTGTATCCATGTGAACATGTAATACATTGACTAAGCATGTCTACATAAAATCCCAACATGTAGAATGTTGGAGAAAAAAAGAAAACAGAAAATAATTGTCAGCAAAATTTTAAATAAACTACCTCCATATTCCTTATTTGGCATTCCTTAAATAACAATTTTATGTGTGCATTATGCTGTAGCCGTGCCCGGACAGCAATTATAATGGCAGTACAACAGTGGTAACCTTTACCATGATATGTCCATCACTGAAGGACCAAAACAACATTAGCTTAATGAAGCAGTTTTGATGTGTGAATTACGCCTTTGCAGCCTCGCTGCTCAATTCTCTGCCATTTAGGATTTAAATCTCTTTGTTTACTGTTTATGCAGACATAGCCACACCTCCCCTGGCTGAGACTTACACGGTCTCCCAATACACTTCCTGAAGAAGAATCTGAATGTTTTAACTTCCTTTATGGCTCGGTGTGTTTACTTTAGAAGTGCTTAACTACTGCTTTGTTAACTTAACTTTAACGCACAGGGGGCTATTGGGTGTTCTAGCAGGCTATTAACTGAGCAGGAGATAATTAATTCTAAAGTAAACTCACTAAGCAATATGTTAAAACATTTACTCACTTCTTCAGGAAGTGTATAGGACAGGCATTGGCAACCGTCGGCACTCCAGATGTTTTGGACTACACCTCCCATGATGCTTTGCCAGCATTACTGATGTAAGCGCATTATGGGGGATGTAGTCCAAAACATCAGGAGTGCTGAAGGTTGCCTATCCTTGGTATAGGGAGACCGTGTGAGTCTCAATCAGGCTAGGTGTAGTTAGGGCTGCATAAACAAAGTGATTTAACTCATAAATGGCAAAGAATTGAGCACTGAGACAACAGGGGCATGATCAACAAAACTAGAGTGTCCATTTAAAGATCTCCTGCATAGCATGAATTCAATTGTAATCAACTAATTATTTTATATATACCTTAAGTAAGTCGAATAGCTAACGTGTATATATATAGATAAGATAGTTTGAAATAGATTTATCTTCTGTCACAGTTCTGCCCATATAAAATTAAGATTATTCACTGAATTGTGAATGATCAGAAACCCACCAAGGAATTAAACATTTTAGTTCAAAATAGCTAATAACCCTGTAAGAATTTCAACTGACATCCTTTCAATATATTATTCAGGTTCCAGAACATTTAGGGTCTGCTGCAAAGCAAGGCAGCTATTGGCAAATTGAATTGTCAATCAGGAAATACTTATCACCCATACGCTAGTAGTTTTACTTCTCTAATGTCTAGAGGAAAAAGAGGTGTTGTTGTTTCTTTTTATTCCCTCCCTCCCCCAGAACAGGTGGTCAATTTACATTTTTATTGTTGTTGTTTTTTTTCTTTTGTTCGTTCTTCCAGAGGTACAAGTGGTCAGTGTGGATTTTTGTTTTTGTTTTTTCCTAGTCTGGAAGAAGGGGTTAAAAGTGTTTTTTTGTGTGTTTTTTTGTGTGTTTTTTTTTTGTTTGTTTTTTTCATTTGTCTTTTTATTTTATCTTCCCCATCTACCTATTTTTACCTATAATATACGTATTGTATTGTATTGTCTCACAAAATGTACAGTCCTATGTTTTACAGTTGTGGATACACTACTATATACATTACTATGAGTTTTGTTGTGGATGAGCTCTGTGATACTCATACATAGTGTATATTACTGTGAGTTTTGTTGTGGATGAGCTCTGTGATACTCATACATAGTGTATATTACTGTGAGTTTTGTTGTGGAGGAGCTCTCTGATATGGATGAGTATCAAGAAGCTGCTGCGAAATGTTTGTGTTTGTATGTGTTGTAAATGTAAAATGTATTAATGTAATATATGTATCCTTCATGGAGGAGGGGGCAACAAAATGCATATTTACCTGTGTAGCCAAAAATCCTAGTACATGGATTGTTTCTTAAATTTAAAAAATTACCAGATTTTACTAATTACATGACGTAAAGTCATGATTTTAAAAAGGACACGGAGGCGAGTATTAGGCTTTATCTCTTTCTTTATTCCTCAGCAGCAAAGAAAGGATATTGATATTTTCAATATAGCAATAACAAGAAAAAACAAATACCCTTAAGGGTTAACCATATAACATTCCATATACATTAACCAATAGGATCAGTCTTTGTACTATATCCCCTCATGTGACCTAAGCTACTTCCTCTTTCTGTCTGACGCCGAAGCTGAACACATCAACAAGGAAAATTCTCAAACTTGGGTAATCTCCAGTAGGGGTTCCCGTCACTGTTCCGATATAATGAGGTGATAGCGGATGATCCCGGTTATTTCATCACAGGGTTAAGCTGTAGGAGACAGAGAGATATATGGTAAAATATATTCGAATATCGTTGTCATGCATATATGCTGTACCGGTCTTTTAAAAAACGTTTATATCTGAAACATTGTTTTCTTCATTCTAGTAAAGTCAGTCTAAATTACAATTATTATTATATAACCTTGAATCTGAACATCCAAAACACTTTAACCTGTTTATGAGCAAGTGGGTGGGAAAAATACATGTATGGCTTACCTTTCAGTGGGCGGGCTAATACTCGCCTCCGTGTCCTTTATAAAATCATGACTTTACGTCATGTAATCAGTAAAATCTGGTAATTTTATTAAAGGACACGGAGGCTCCTATTAGGCTAGTTTAAAGCTGTGAGATGACCATAGACGAGATATGTTCTGTTGGTCGAAAGTAGTATTCTTTGAACGTCGATTCTCGGGACCAATCAGCTGTGCGGAGGAGGTCTTCCAGTTTACAGCCAATGGAGAATGCTTTAGAGGCCATAGCGCCTCTAGTAGAATGTGCTCCGTAAACTGCTGTGTCAATGTTAGCAGTTGACATTATCCATTTCACCCAGCGTGCCAGAGTTCCCGTTGATGAGGTTTCCTCACTGCCAAGAACAGATCATGTGTGGTTGGGTTCCGGAATGACTGGGTCCGCAGTTCGTATTCCCGCAGGCATGCCACCGGGCAGAGGTTAGCGTTGTGAGGAAAGGAGGGATAGAAGACTGAAGTGATTTTCGACTTTGTACGTCTGGTGATATTAAACAGGACACCATATGGCATGAATGATCGTGCATCGATATCCAGGGCCCGCACGTCTGATACCCTTTTGCAGGAAATTAAGCACAGAAGCATCGCTAATTTTGCGGACACTTGTTTGAGTGTGAGGTCCGAGTTTGGAGGCCAGTCTTGCAACAAACGAAGGACCATATTCACATCCCATAAGGCCGTGTAGCGGGGTTGTGGTGGACGTGCAAATTTTATGCCTCGTAGAAGACGACAGATCCATAAGTGTTTCCCGGCCGGGAAACCTTCCCAACCGTTGTGCCCAGCTGAAATCGCCGACCTGTACACGTTTATGGTGCGGTAAGCCAAGCCTTGATCGTAAAGGGTAGTAAGGAAACCCAGAACCTGATTTATAGGAGCACTTATGGGATCCACGTGTTGTTCCACGCACCAACTACACCATGTGTTCCAGGCATGAGCATAGGATCGTCTTGTCCCTGGGGCCCAAGCTCCTGCCAATAAGTCCAAAGTTGTTTGTGAAACATTCGGCATGGTCCAGGGTCCCCTGAGAGGAGCCGTGTTAGGAGTCTGAGATGGCCTTGCACTAGAAGTGGGTGAGAGTTCCCATCGGGGTCTGATAATAATTCCGTGCCTCCTGGGATCAATCTGGGGAGGTCGATTGACATTTCCATGAGCGAAGGGAACCATGGCTGTGCCGTCCAGAATGGTGTTATTAAAACCAACGATGCTCGGGAGCGCTGTAAGTGTAGGAGAGTTTGCGCTATGAGTGAGAAGGGAGGAAAGGCGTATAGCCTGGTGTTTGGCCAATTTTGTAGGAAGGCATCCACTGCCGTGGCGTCTGGGTCCGGTCTCCAGCTGAAGAATGGGGGAAGTTGAGCATTCAGCCGGGAGGCAAAAAGGTCGATGTGCATAGGTCCCCAGAGTTGGTGGAGCTTCTGGAATATTGTGCGATTCAATCGCCATGCACTGTTGTCTCGTAAATGCCTGGAGTTCCAATCCGCTACGGTGTTGGAGAGTCCTGGGAGGTATTCCGCCTGTACTGATATGTTGTGACTCAGGCAGAAATGCCAAAATTCCTTCGCCAAGTTTGTGAGGGTTGAGGATCTCGTGCCACCCAAGTGGTTGATGTAGCGAACGGCTGAGATATTGTCCATGCGCATAAGTATGGAACAATTGGTCGTGTGTCCGAGGAGGGCGAATGACCCAGCCAGGAGTTCCAAACCATTGATGTGGAGTTCTTTTTCTTCTGAAGACCATTTTCCACCTGTAGAGAATGAGCCCCCCATCCAAGTCTGCTCGCATCGGATTCTATAACGAGATCCGGAGTGGTTCTGAAGATTGCCTTGCCGTTCCATTCTTCCATGTGTTGAAGCCACCATGCCAGTTCCTCTTTTGCCGCGCAGTCTAGAGGTACAGAATCTGAATAGGATTGACCCAAGCGTAGGTGGGTTGCTTTGAGCTGTTGCAGGGATCTGTAGTGGAGAGGGCCTGGGAAGATCGCTTGTATAGAGGCAGAGAGCAGGCCAATTATCCTGGCTAGCTGTCGGAGGGTTAAGACTGGTCGAGTCAACGTCCTCCGGATTTCCTTCTTGATAAGTTTTACTTTCGCGGTAGGTAAACTGAGTGTTCCGTGCATTGCGTCTATATCGAAGCCCAGAAACTCTATCGAGTGGGAAGGTTGCAGGATCGATTTGTCCCAATTGATTAGGCAACCCAGGTTTTGCAGAAGGATCAACGCCCAGGATAGATGTTGGTTCAGTAGCTGGGTGTCCTGGGCCATGATCAGCATGTCGTTGAGGTATATGATCAGACGTACACCTCTGCTGCAAAGGAGGGCGACTACCGGTTTCAGCAGCTTGGTGAAGCACCACGGGGCTGAAGACAGGCCGAAAGGGAGGCAGCAGAAACGCCACATCGTCTGTTCCCATTGGAATTGAAGTAGGTGTTGACAGTCCTCGGCAATCGGTATCGTGAGGTATGCATCTTGGAGGTCCAATTTTACCATCCAGTCTCCCTGTCTTAGCAGGTCTCGGAGGCAGTGTATCCCTTCCATCTTGAAGTGATGGTATGTGACAAAGGCGTTGAGAGGCCGCAAGTTTATTACTGGCCTCGTGCCCCCACCTTTCTTGGGTACTAGGAAGATGTTGCTTAGGAACCCGGGGGCGGTAATTGGAACCTTGTATATCGCACATTTCTCCTCTAGTGTGCAAATCTCTTTTGACACCAGCTGTTTGTCTCGTGGGGAAAAAACAATCCGATGTGGCAATGAGAGTTGAATCGGCTGTTGTGTGAATTCGATGTGGTAGCCGAGGATGGTCTCTAGGACCCAGGTATCTGAGGTTAGGTTGTGCCAAGCATCCTGGAAATGAAACAATCTGCCCCTCACGTGTGCCAAGGGAAGGGTGTGTAATGGGAAATGACTCACCATAAGGCCGACGGCCATAGGAGGATCCCCTGGTTCCACGTGGATGCCACGACCTGCCCCTGGTCGGGAAGAATGGTGACTGTGCCCTTGGTTCGGGCGGATGGAACCGTGTTGAGGCGGAGCCTCGATAGCCCCGGAAAGGAATCCGGGAGGGGCGGCCGGACAGACGGCCCCGCTGTCTGCCGGCCCCACCGAAAACCTTTTGCGAGAACACTCGCTTCATATTATGTTGTGCCTTATCTAGTGCCGTAAACGTGTTGACATAGTTGCCCAGGGTTTTAACAAAGTCGTCTCCGAATAAGAGACCTTTTGCCTGTGTGCCAGGCTCGGAGATTGCCAAATGTACTAATTTTGGCTCAATTTTCATTAATATGGCTTTACACCGTTCTGTGGCCAAAGCGGTGTTGGCATTTCCAATTACGCATATGCCTCTCCGAATCCATCCTCTGATGGCCATTAAGTCAATTGAGGTCCCCCCAGTAAGGGCCGCTTCGACCATTTCGAAGATTTTAGCTATAGGCCCGAGTATGTCCAGGATCTTGTCTTGGCGGTGCTTTAAGGAGTAGTCCAAACCCTTTTTGGCCCTCCATCCTGACTTACCCAGAAACTGAGCGATTTTGGGGTCCACCTCAGGGGTCACGCAGGCCATGTCTGGGACAGTGGGGCGTGGGCATTCCGCCCTCAGCTTGTTTCTTGTGGCCTTATCGAGGGGTTTTCTGACCCTAGTCACAATGTAAATGCCCACATGAGTTGTGGGGTACCAATCCGCTGAACGCAGATTATGCAAAGTGTCGGGATCAAAAATGGGTTCCCCTCGGGGATCTAACACAGCAGATTCATCCGTCTCGTGCTCAGCGTCTAGCACTGGAGGCGCGGTTTCGCCGCGTTCGGGGGACGAATTATCTGAAAAGTTTGGGTCGATGTTATCGGACCCATCTGACACCTCCTCTGAGTCCGAATCGGAGTGGGACGAATCAGATAGGGCTTTTGCCCTCTTCCAAGTCCGCACCGTTTTTGAGCGGGGGGCTCTTTTACGTGGGAGCACCACGTCATCAATCTCAACAGGGCGCAACCTGTCCGTCTTACTGGTTTTGGAGGTAGCACCTGGCAGATGGTGCGATTTGCACGTAGCCTTGCGGCCGCTAGGGACTAGTGGCTTGTTATCAGAGGATATAGGGGGTGCAGAGCCAGGGGTGTGGCTGGATGCCCTGATAGCGGAGGAGATAGAGTGGGACAGGGTGTCCGACATCGCCCCCATGGCGGTAAAAATGGCCTGTGTAACTGACCTACTCATCGTAGCATCCAGGAGCGCCTGGAACTCCTCTGAGTTCACCTGCTCCTGGGATGCGTCCCCAAATCCCCCAGTGGCAGCAGTGTCTGTAGACAGGGCTGTCGCATCACGTTTGCTGGGTTTAGTAGTGGTCAGGATGTGTCACAATAATAGTATAAAGGGAAGGCACTAAAAACAGAACTGTCACTAGTGGACAAATGCACACTGACAGCACTACAGTGGTTTGTGCACCAGAAGCACAAGGTAATTGGCTGAACACACTGTATACAGGTATACAGGCAGCTAGGGCAAGGCACAATGATCAAATGGCACAGATAATATGGTAGCTTACCGAGTGTTCCCTCAGGAATGACTCCTGGGGGACACTGGTAAGCTGCCCAACACCTCCCTCAGCCAATCAGCCTGCGCCCCTCCCTGATAGAGTGGCGCGGACCACGGGTGAAAAGAGCGGCAAATCTGCCAACCCTTAAGATGGCCGCCGCGATGCGCGGGAGTGAACCGCGCATGCGCGAGCGGTGTAAGTGGCCGTGAGAGCAACAGCCGTCCGTCTGGCGGCTAAACGGCTCGTTCCGGTCCGGGGAGGTGAGGAGAGGGTGGGGGGGGGGATTCCTGGGAGCGTTCCCCACCCGGGGAAGTGGAGGGAAAAAAATGGGTTATAAACAACCCGAAACGGCAGTGCAGGATGGGGCTTGCCTCAGGGGAGAGGCAAGTACCCTGCACTGGGAACAGTTTTAAAGAAAACACCAGTAGTAAGCAAGTACTATACAGAAAAAAATAATATATAGAAAAATAATATACAGAAAAAAATAATATAAAGATAACAATATTAAACCAGAAGAGACTGAAACACAGTTAACAAAACACAATATTTTGTGGAGCTGAAAAATTATGTGGTACTTAGCTGAGGCAGCAGCAAAGAAAGAGGAAGTAGCTTAGGTCACATGAGGGGATATAGTACAAAGACTGATCCTATTGGTTAATGTATATGGAATGTTATATGGTTAACCCTTAAGGGTATTTGTTTTTTCTTGTTATTGCTATATTGAAAATATCAATATCCTTTCTTTGCTGCTGAGGAATAAAGAAAGAGATAAAGCCTAATAGGAGCCTCCGTGTCCTTTAATAAAATCTAGTAATTACGATTTATAAAACATTAGCTTGCTCCTGCTGATTAGCTCATTTAACATTTCAACCGCTAGGTGTTTTGGCAAAACACAAGAAAGCACAATTGATGAAAACTTTGATAGAATAAGCATTTTAATATTGATGCATCTCTCCTACATTGAAAACCAAAACGAATACATGTGAAAATAATCAGACGAATAAGAAGAACAAAAAAATTAGTAAAAAGTCTTTAAGTTGAGCATGCATGAAGCATGTATGACATTGCAATGTTCAAGCTCTGTAGATTTTGTCCAGAGAGACAACAAGACACACCCACTGGCGAAACTACCGTGGTTGCAGGGGTCGCAGCTGCAACTGGGCCCATCATTCCAGGGGGCCCGGCCGCCATGCCGACCACTTCAACCGGGGTGCCCGCTGACATTGTTGTGCGGACCGCAATCAAGGGACCCATCGGGTGGCCCCAAGAGCACGGGCAATGGATTACCTTGGGCCTGGTCAGCGCTGTGGCGTTTTAAGAGCGAGACCAGGCCCCATTGATGTCTTAAGAGCACCTGCTGGGAGGAAGCCGTTACTTCCTGACAGCATACACAGAACAGAGTGGCAGGAGAATGCAGGGAAAGGAGGTAGTCAGAGTGGGTGCTCTTACTCCTATCACCATTAGGCAATCACTGGACCCCAGGGATATTAACAGTTTGTTTGTGTTGTGTGAATGTCTGTATGTGTCTGTGTGTCTGTATCTGTGTATGTGTGTTTGTGAATGTCTGTATGTGTCTGGGTGTCTGTATGTGTGTGTGAATGTCTGTATATGTGTTATATGTCTTTGTCTGTATATATATCTCTTTGTATGTGTATCTGTTTGTCTGCCTTTGAGTCTGTATGTGTATCTGTCGGTATGGGTATCTGTCTGTATGGGTATCTGTCTGTATGGGTATCTGTATGTCTGTATGTGTATCTGTTTGCATGTGTGTCAGTGTGTGCCCCTATGTATCTGTATGTACAGTTTATATCTGTATGCTTGTCATTCTGTGTATCTGAATGTTTGTCATTAAGTGTCTGTGTATCTGCATGCATGTCTATATATGTATCTGTCTGTATGTACATCTGTGTTTCCACATGTGTCTGTGTCTTCTGTGTCTGTATGTGTATCTGTTTGTATGTGTATCTGTCTGCATATTTGTCTGGATGTATATCTGTGTCTGTATGTGTGTCAGTGTGTGCCCCTATATATCTGTATGTGTGTCACTGTTTATATCTGTATGCGTATCATTCTGTGTATCTGAATGTTTGTCATTAAGTGTGTCTGTGTATCTGCATGCGTGTCTATATGTCTGTGTATCCGCATGTGTATCTGTATGTCTGCATATGTCTGTATGTGTATCTGTTTTTCTGCACGTGTGTATCTGTCTGCATGTGTGTCAGTGTGTGCCCCTATGTATGTATGTATGCGTGTCACTCTGTGTATGTGTATCTGCATTTATCTATATGTGTATCTATCTGTATGTGTCTGCATGTGTGTCAGTGTTTGTATCTGTTAAAGTGTCATTCTGTGTGTCTGTGTATTAACATGTATGTCCTTGTATATATCTGTATGTGTTATATTATACAAATGAAGGGGAGTGGGTTAGGGAAGATGTAGGGGGTGGGGGGGCCCCAGGGCAATTTTTGCTCCTGGGCCATGTGGTTTCTAGTTACGCCTCTGGACACACCCAATAGCTCTTTCGTGTGGCAATCTTGGACTGTGCCTCGTCTATAACCAGTCTGATGATCAGAAAAAAGCGAATATGATAAAAGCTCACATGAAAATTGCCCACAGAAAAAAAAAACACTGTCATAAGTGCGCACAAGAAAACTGCCTAAATGGAAAATTGCTCACACTGAATAATGCCCACATGGAAAATTGCCAGGTGGAAAAATGTCCACTTGGCAAAATGCCCACACAGAGAAATTTCCACAGATATGCATATATAGTAATTTTCAAGTAAAGCTAAAGATGTATGTGCAATATATATACCGTAGATAATCATTTATCTCTCGTTTATGAACACGAATAGGTACTACCAGCGTTCCTTCTAAGATATATGCTTGTGCATGAATTTGCGCACTTTTTTTTTTTTTAAACATATATAACCCACCAGCAGGCCTGATCCTGGGTGGGCTCATGGGATGCATCGCGTCTAGGCGGCTGAATGTAGGGAGCTGGCCAACGACCTGTCACAGGGAGCCAAGGAGGTGGCCAGCTGGCGACTTTAGGGCACCGTCGAAGCGGGCACTTATTCAGTAATTCAAAGTGGCACCTGCTTACTCAGATGGGTGCCTACTCTGCCAAAATATACCAGGAAGAGTGCAGGCGGCAAAAGCAAGGGAACTGGAACTGTGTTTCCAGTTCTATAAATATCATAATAATAATTCTAAATCGTTAAAAGGTGATAAGCTTGCCATCACACCTATAGTTTAAGACTGCTATAATGAGGTGCTCACATACTTCACTTCTACATATATTGGGGGTGCAGCAGGTAGAGATGCTCTGTTTCCTGTAAGAATATGGAATCATCATGATGCAGCCCTGGAACGGTCACAAAAACTACCAACTGTTGTGAGAAAGGTCACAGCGCTATTAGTTCATTATTCCGTTTCATTTTAGCCTTTATGTTGTTAGAAGACTTGTGATAATTTATATTCATAAAATCCTATGTAAAATGCCTATTTTTGTAAGCTCATCTTCTAGAACTCCCTATTTAAAGGAACACTCCAAGTACAATAACCACTACAGAGTCCGCCAGGTGCCACTCCCCGCTTCCACTACTAATGCCAGAGAACAAAAAGTTAAAATAACCATTAGCCACACCCCCAACATTTGGAGGTTTGCAGATAGGAATAGGTGGGTGGACTTGAGAGGGGGCATCACCGAAAGAACTTAAGATGCCTGTTTGGCTGGCCCTCAGTCTGCAGGAACATGCAGAGAGCGTTGCTGATGGACACATCTAATGATGCACTGGCACTGTGCTGACAGAGGATAGTTCCCTGGTGTCCCCGGATGCAGGACACCAAGAAACTAAATTACAACTGTGGGACAGAACGGTTTGGAAGCAATCTTACTGGCTGAGTATGTTCAGCTGACGCAGGGCTTAGCTCAAAAGAACTAATGGAAGTTCCTGTTGGAAGTGGGGAACTGTACCAAGGAAAGAAGTCAAACTATTAAAAATACAATTTGACTCTGTACAACGGAGAGGCGCCAGGGCAGTGCTGGCACAATAACCACTACAGCATGCTGTTCTGGTGCTTGGAGTGTTCCTTCAACATATCTCATTTTGTGCAGAAATATAAGAGCAGATGAACTGCAATATGCATGAAAATGTGTGCATATTTATTATAGTATTAAAGTGAAGGAAACTGCACTCACTTGGCTGCCAAGGTGCACCGGATCCGGAGATGGCCAAACCAGATGTTAGATCTATGAAATAAAGTAGTGGTCCAGGCACCCAAGGTATTAGCCAAAAAAAACTGTTATATTGGAGCAAACAAACAGCAACATTTCGACCCAATCTGGTCTTTTTCAAGCTTGACAAAGACCCAGTTGAGTCGAAACATTGCTCTTTGTTTGTTTACTTCAATAAAACTGCTTTTTTGGCTAACGCTTTGAGTGCCTGGACCACTACTTTTTTTGCATATTTATTAGTCTTGTGAATGTCTGTAATTCATATTTTTTTCTTTTTATGGATGAACGTCTCTATGTAACTAAATATTTCTTGCATATTATTAGTAATTGTTTGTCGTTTTTTTCATTCTCTTCTATTAGTAGTTTCTTATCGTGTATAAACTCAGCTTTCACAATTTATTCTTTACTTTGTTTACATAATCTGTCCCGAAAGAAGTGGAGAAAGCAAATGCGTGAACTGAATTCTCTTTTAGGATTTCCCCAGATGGCCCTTCGTGCAAGATAAAAATAACTGTGTGGTGTAGACAGCACTGCTGAATAAGGGTAATGGGTGTGAAGCCT